TTTGAAGTACCCTCATACAGAGTCTCTTAACCTTAACCTAGGGTCTTTGAACCCCTGGGAGTCTGTGAACACTGCAATTATACACAAGGTGTTGTCTGTGTGCAGTTTCCAAAGTCCAAGCTTGCAGTAAACTTCAAAGGTGTTTCTGACCAGCACCCCCCATCTCAAAGTTACAAATTACTAGTGCAGAGTGAGGCACCCCCTGGGGAAAACAGGTATTCAGGGGCAGGCAAAGATGAAAGAGAAACAGGGAGACAGCAGAGACCAAGAGGCAACTCTTAGTAGAGTCAGATGTGGCCGAGATAAGCCCTGAATCCAGCAATGGGCTCACAGCTGGGCTTACTGCACAGTGGGGTCGGGAGGGAAGGGAAGTGGGGATAGACCCTAACAGTGGCACAGACCAACAGCTTTATCGATATGTCACGAAAAGAGAAGGCTCTGCACACAGGAACTTGTCTTTGGTAACAATGAAAATCCAGAAAATGAAGTTTCATGAGTCCCCGTCTACTTTTGGGGCACCACGCGCAGTGACCAGAACCAGCCTGTTGCCTTAGGTTTCCATCAGCTTGACAGTGACCCCCATAAAACAAGTGTGGGGCAACCCTCTTCTAAGTGAAGACCTTCTCTGTTTGTGTTACCAGAAAAAATCATACAGAATAAAAGCTCCAGGAAGGTCCCCAGGGCAAGCATGTGTTACAGAGGTGGGCAAGACAACAGGAACTGTTACTAAGCTCCAGGTAAGCTGGGCATGTAGCATAATTGTTAACAGTACCAGCTCGGGGAGAATCCGGCTCCGAGTCTGCTCCTCCTCTGTCACTTACTAGCCATCTGTCCTGGGAAATTTGATTAATGTTCCTGATCTTCGCTTTCCTTATCTGTAAAATGTGAATAGCAATTCATACACCATGCTTGGTTGTGATGATTACTTAATGAGATCATATATTTAAGCCCTTAGCTTACGGTCTGATATGCTGTCAGTCAGCTCAATAAATACTGGCTGGTGCTACTTTTATAGTCTACAGCAGGACTGTCCAAATGTATGGATTTTCTAGTAGCCACATGAAAACAGTCAAAAGAAACAGTTGAAATTAATTTTAATAATATATTTTATTTTACCCAAGATATTCAAAATATTGTCATTTCAATATTTTTTGAATATACAATTCTTAATGCAGTATTTTATTTTCTTCCTGTGAGGTCTTTGAAGCCTGGTAGTTAACTTCTAGCACACCTCAATTCAGGCTAGCTTCATTTCCTGCACTCAATAGCCACATGTGGCTAGTGGCTACTGTTCCGGACAATGCAGCTCTAGACCTCTAGTTATACCCCAGTAAGTAGAGTAGGCCCATAATTCTCTCCCTGTCTAAGAATCGCACTTTCCCACTACAGAAAACAGAAATGATCTTCTGATATTTTTGATCGTTTTTCGGCCCCTCCTACTT